TGCTGCATCAGTCCCATGATAGTCTAACAGGAGGACATCTTGGAGTTACGAAGACATCGAGTCACCTACGACAGAAATTTTACTGGACAGGTATGAGGCAAGATGTGGAAGAATTGTGCAGGACCTGCAGTACATGTTATGCTAAAAGGGGACCCAAGCATAAGGGATGTGCTCCAATGAAGTTATATCAAGTTGGTGCACCAATGGAAAGAGTAGCCAATAACATTGCTGGTCCTTTGCCCCAAACTCATGCTGGAAACAAATACATTTGTGTGGTGATGGATTATTTCACCAAGTAGCCTAAGGCATATGCAATACCAAATCAGGAAGCTACAACTGTAGCTTCGGCTATTAGTGATTTCTTCTTCAGGTTTGATATGCTATACAAACTGCATTCAGATCAAGGCCATAAATTTGAATCAGCTATGTTCCATGTATTCTGCAAGTTGTTTGGCATGCGAAAGACCAGGACAATGCTACTTCACCCACAGTCTGATGGGATGGTAGAAAAGTACAATTGGACACTGGGACAGGAATTGACAAAATTTTGTAATAGCTGTCAAGACGACTGGGATGTCTTACTCCCTCCACTATAGAACAGCAGAGCATGAAGCCACTGAATATATTCCAGCAAAACTAATGTTTGGTCGGGAACTTTGGTTGCCAGTGGACCTGATAAAAGGATGCCCACCTTACAAAGAGTTGCCTGAAAATGTGCCACAGTTCGTGAAAGCGTTATCTGAAAGGATGGATGATATTCATCATCAAGTGCATTTGAACTTAAAAACATCTGCAGATTCCATGAAGCTATGTTATGATAAGAAATCTACTGAAGTCAGCTTTGTACCAGGAGACAAGGTGTGGTTGTATAATCCCAGGAAGACCAGAGGGAAGTCTCCTAAGTTGTCTTCTCCATGGGAAGGCCCATATGACATAGTGGATTGTCTTTCAGACGTGACTTTTTTGAATAAAATGTGGTCGGCGAGGTAAGCCAAAGGTGGTGCATGGCAACAGGCTTTGGCATTATCACGGTTACTTCAGGATATTTCAGTTGGAACGAAGTGAACAACGGAACAAATGACGCTGCTGAAGATGTGTCACCTGAAAAAGCCACTCTACCCAGTTTTGAGAAGGAAAACAGTGAAGCCATTAATGAAGTTACTACT